GATGATGACAATGATGACAATGACGACGATGATGACGACGACAATTATGATGATGATGATGACGACGATGATGACAACAATGATGATGACGATGATGATGACGACGACGACTATAACGACGACGATGATGACAATGATGACAATGACGACGATGATGACGATGATGACGACGACAATGATGATGATGATGACGACGACAATGATGATGACGATGATGACGATGATGACGACGATGATGACAACAATGATGATGACGATGATGATGACGACGACGACGACGATAACGACGAAGATGATGACAATGATGACAATGACGACGATGATGACGATGATGACGACGACAATGATGATGATGATGACGACGATGATGACAACAATAATGATGACGATGATGATGACGACGACGACGATAACGACGACGATGATGACAATGATGACAATGACGACGATGATGACGATGATGACGACGACAATGATGATGATGATGACGACGATGATGACAACAATGATGATGACAATGATGATGACGACGACGACGATAACGACGACGATGATGACAACGACGACGATGATGCTGACGACGACAATGATGATGATGATGACGTCAATAATGACGCCGATGATGATGATGACACCGATGATGATGATGACGCCGACGATGATGCGGTGACCACCGTCTTTGTTTCGATGTCTGAGCCAGAAGCCGCCGCCGCCGCTGCTGCAGCTGCGAGGATGACCACCGGAGGAGCTGACGTGGTGGGGGTTGATGCGCCTTGACTGAGAGGGGCGGGGGGGGTGTCAGGGGAACTCTTGCTGATTACAATATTCTGGGGGGCCCCTCCACCCCCTCACAACTCCCACGGACCCCCCCCCGCCTGCAATCTCCAAACTTGCCGGTCCCAACCGTGATGTGTATCTCTGTGATTCTACGGGTCTCTATGTGAGTCTACGGGTCTCTGTGTGAGTCTATGGGCCTCTGTGTGAGTCTACGGGTCTCTGTGTGAGTCTACGGGTCTCTGTGTGAGTCTACGAGTCTCTGTGTGAGTCTACGGGTCTCTATGTGAGTCTACGGGTCTCTATGTGAGTCTACGGGTCTCTATGTGAGTCTATGGGTCTCTGTGTGAGTCTACGGGTCTCTATGTGAGTCTACGGGTCTCTATGTAAGTCTACGGGTCTCTATGTGAGTCTACGGGTCTCTGTGTGAGTCTATAGGTCTCTATGTGAGGCTACGGGTCTCTGTGTGAGTCTATGGGTCTCTGTGTGAGTCTATGGGTCTCTGTGTAGTATATAGGTCTCTGTGTAGTCTATGGGTCTCTGCGTCATCTATGGGTATCTGTGTGTGTCTGTGGGTCTCTGTGGAGTCTATAGGTCTCTGTGTAGTCTATGTGTCTCTGCGTCATCTATGGGTCTCTGTGTGTGTCTGTGGGTCTCTGTGTAGTCTACGGGTCTCTGTGTCATCTATGGGTCTCTGTGTGTGTCTGTGGGTCTCTGTGTAGTCTACGGGTCTGTGTCATCTATGGGTCCCTGTGTAGCATATAGGTCTCTGTGTAGTCTATGGGTCTCTGTGTCATCTATGGGTCTCTGTGTAGCATATAGGTCTCTGTGTAGTCTATGAGTGTCTGCGTTATCTATGGGTCTCTGTGTGTGTCTGTGGGTCTCTGTGTAGTCTACGGGTCTCTGTGTCATCTACGGGTCCCTGTGTAGCAATGGCAACGGTTTGAAATTCTGACCAGCTCCGCTCCTGGATTCCGTGGGCGGTTGTTACTTCGTGGGTTCTCTTCAAAGGAGCCGCTCCGGTTCCTGCAATTTCGCTTGTCCACGTCTTGTTCCTTTTTTTCGTAGCCGCTAACCGCCCCCCCTCCCCCACCCCCCATTGCTCTTCTCCACGAGGTCGACATGACACCGACACGCGCCGCGTGCGGTGCCGCTCGCCCGACGCGCGCGAAGCCAGCGGGGGCATACTTGTGGCCGGCCGTGAATTGTTCGGAGATCTTTTGAAATCCTCCAGACTGGGGGCGGGGAGTCACTGTTGAGAGGGGCGGGGTGGGGTGGGTGGGGTGGGTGGTGCGGATGGGTGGTGTGGGTGGGGTGGGGTGGATAGGGTGGGTGTGGTGGGTGGGGTGCGGTGGTGGGGTGTATGTGGTGGGTGGTGTGGGTGGTGTGGGTGGGGTGGGTGGGGTGGTGGGTGGTGTGGATGGGTGGTGTGGATGGTGTGGGTGGGATGAGTAGTGTGGGTGGGGTGGGTGGGGTGGTGGTTGGGGTGGGTGGTGTGGGGTGGGTGGTGAGGGTGGTGTGGGTGGTGTGGGTGTTGTGGGGTGGGTGGTGTGGATGATGTGGGTGGGGTGATGGGTAGGGTGGGGTGAGTAGTGTGGGTGGGGTGGTGGGGGTGGTGGGGGTGGTGGGGGTAGTGGGGGTGGTGGGTGGGGTATGGTCAGGGACGGATTAAGATGTTGTAGTCCCCAGGGCTACAGGTACTAGTGAGGCCCCACCAGTAACATTTTCAAAGGAAAACAAAGTGAAAGAAAAATAAACACATATGTTTTACGAGGCTAACAACAAATAGAATTCAGCATCCACAAATGAAACAACTTTTCACTTCGTCTCTGGAGGCCCCTGGGCTGCAGCCCATAAAGCCCCCACGCCTTGAACCGGCCCGGGGTGTGATTGGTCGGCGTGGATTGGTGGGGTGTGGTGGGTGGGTGTGGTGGGTGTTGGGTGTGGTGGGTGTGGTGAGTGGGTGTGGTGGGTGGGGTGGTGGGTGGGTGTGGTGGATGGGGTGGTGGGTTGGGGGTGGTGAGTGGGTGTGGTGGGTGGGGGTGGTGGGTGTGGTGGGTGGGTGGCGAGTGGATGTGGTGGGTGGGTGTGTTGGGTGGGTGTGGTGGATGTGGATGTGGTGAGTGGGTGTGGTGAGTGGGTGTGGTGGATGGGGTGTGATTGGTGAGGTGTGGTGGGTGGGGTGGGTGGGTGGTGAGTGGGTGGGTGTGATTGGTGGGGTGGATGGGTGGGTGTGGTGGGCGGGGGGTGGTGGGTGTGGTGGGTGTGGGGGGTGGTGGGTGGGGTGGATGGGGTGTGATTGGTGGGGTGGATGGGTGGGTGTGGTGGTGTGGTAAGTGGGTGTGGTGGGTGTGGGTGGGTGGTGAGTGTGGTGGGTGTGGTGGGTGTGGGGGGTGGTGGGTGGGGTGGATGGGGTGTGATTGGTGGGGTGGATGGGGTGGGTGTGGTGGGTGTGGGTGGGTGTGTGGGGGGTGGGGTTGTAGGTGGGGTGTGGTAGGTGCGGGGTGGTGGGGTGGGGGGGATGCCTGATTTTGAAGAACGCTTGACGCTCGACTGACGTTCGGATTGGATGTATTCTCATCCTTTGGGTTGATCCGACAGTCGTAGACACGGAGTTGAGTTTTATTAATCTCCGATTAACCTGAAAATCGAGAGCACATCGAGTTTTGTAAAGAATAAGAAAAATCGATTTTGATAATCAGCATGCTCATCATATATTATATTACCTTTATTGAGAATAAAGCATTGACATTTTTCATGCCGCTGTTTAAATTTCTTGACTTTTGGGTCATCCTGAAAGCACGCAAAGATAAAGATCCCCCGTGTAGCCCTAACAGACTGTTGGGGCAAGTGCTGTTAGCGAACACCTACTAAAGTCGGCACGGCACACGAGGGGGTGGGTGCCCTACACCACGCCCGGCCGCCTTTGTCTCCCGAGTGGCGATGTTTACACATAGCACCCAGTTAATCGTTTGAGGCTGAGTAGACCTAGGGAAGACCCTGCACCCGGTTCAGATAATCGTCCCTGGTGTTGGTGGCCGTGTGCGTGAATCGAACTCGGGTCGCCGGGTTCGTAGCGCAGCGTGGCGCTAACCGCTGCGCCACCGCTCCTCATTACGCACACACTGACACACACACTGAGACACTGACACACACACTGACACACTGACACGCACACTGACACACTGACACGCACACTGACACACTGACACACTGACACGCACACTGACACACGTGCGCGCGTATAATTAAGAAATAATTCCACTGAGTTTGGAGCCTAGAATGATGATGATGATGATGCAGCAGCTTCACTGGTCCCTACACGGCCTTAGAAGTGGCCAGGAATGGCCGTGGCGTAATTGAAGAGGCGACCAGAGGTGCCGTTCACCGCCGATGGCATCGTGGCATCGAGGGGGGGGGGCGGGATAAGGGGTGGGGGGCTCCCACACAACTGACGCACGCGAAGTAGGAATGGGCGATGTTCATTTTGCGGCTAATTAGCGCGTTCCTATTAATTTACAACGCTCCGTGATCAGAGAAGGGGACGGGAGTTTTCATTGATCTTCTGCTCACGCCATGAGGTCCTGACAGCTGTCCAACGTTCACTTCACCAAAACTCGCCCCAGTCCGTTGTTGTTGTTGCTGCTGCTGCTGCATTTACCCCACGCGTTCAGACCACGAAGCCAACACCGGGTGTATAACGATCTATCTCAACACCCGGTGTGTATATCTACACGGGATATCTCGCTCTCTGTGTCTCTCTGTCTCCTCCACAACACCGCGTTTCATTAACGCGGCGTTGAGGAGGAGCAAAGTGTCCAGAGCCTTCTGAGAGGACCCAAGGACCGATTCCATCATTCATCCCAAAAACTAAAAAAACCACCCACCCACCCACCCCCGTAGCCGACTCCGACACACGTCTTCTGGCTGTCAGCGGAGCTTCCAGACAGCGGCGGCCGTGATTAATTGCTGCCAATTGATATCTGCGTTCCGCTGCGTTTTAATAATGAATTTCCCGGCCTAACGACGTCTCCAGAGATCGCCGTCTGATTGCAAATGTCGGTGCGGTGGTGCGAATTACATCGCGCGGGTAATGGCAGGGGCTGTAACATATCACAACACGCGCCCTCTCTCTCTCTCTCTCTCCGATCGTGTTCTCCTGCTCTGCTTTCACGATGTCCGACGTTTCGCTCCACTGGCCAGGGTGACTCAGTGGCGACACGTGCGCCTCGCAGGCACGAAGGGCTCCTCCTGCTGTGAAGTTAAAATGTCCTCCGTCTTCTTGCGCGTTGAGTCGTCTGCGTTGGCTCGGGTCACGCTGCGCCACGTGTCCTGCAGCCACCGCATGTCCAGGCGGCTTCTGTTTGGCCGGATAGAGGCGGACGGGGGGGCAAACAGGCGCGGCACGGGCTCGAGAAGAGACGGAGCTGATGCGGTGCCGGGAGGACGTGGAGCCGAAGGGGAATTCGCAGACGAGCGGTAAGCAGCGGTGTCGAGATCGGCCTCTGTGGAGGAGGAGGAGGAGGAGGCTGGTGAAGGACGCTGCTGCTGCTGCTGGGGAGCTGGAGGCAGTCGTACTCGAGCAACTAAACCTGGGCAAAGTCTCGCAAGCAAGGGGCCACTTCCAATCCGCGTGGAGGCGAAGGACAAGACGGTAATTCATCTTATTGGTTCTTTCGGTAAAGTCACGTAGAAGGGAAGTAATAAAATAATAAAAATAAAACATAATAAAACAATTCTCACGACGTTTCGGCCACAACGTAAGCAGCCGTCGTGAGAATTGTTTTATAATGTTTTATTTTTATTATTTTATTACTTCCCTTCTACGTGACTTTACGGAAAGAACCAAGAAGATGAATCCCTGCAGTCACGAAAGCTTTAAATCGAAATTTAAAGATGGTAATTGGCCTGGAGTTGGAGTCTCGCAGCTGTCCGAAGTTTTAGAAAAAGGTGACCACTTCGCCTTGGTCCCGTGTGTTTGTTGAACTTCCTTTGCACCGTGCGTAGCCAACCGCGCGTATCGCAGGGTGCGGGGGCAGGACAACAAACTAAACACAACAACAACAACAGCAGCAGCAAGCAGTTCTAGAGAAATTAGTTTTCAATAGAGATTTAAACGTGCTTAGCTCCAGTGTCTTCATATTGCTGTTGTTGATGCTATTGTTGTTATTGCGATAATTGCAGCTGTTGCTTCTGCTGTTGGTATTATTGTTGTTGCTGTTCTTGTTGCTATTGATGGTCTTGTTTATATTGTTGCTGTTGCTATTGTTGCTAGTGTTGCTGCTGTTGTTCCGTGTGTGACGGTCAAGCGTTTTGCAAAGGCATCGTTGTCCACATAACCCCAGCATCTTTACGACCTATGGACGCGGGCCATCATTTGCTGGTGCCCTGTTGGACTTCATGTCAGTGACCTGCTTACCTTCCAAACATTTTGCACTGATGTCGTTTTATTATTTCAATCAATCAACCAAACGGTGGTTAGTACGGCGCCCTTCACGGTAGCATTGTCACAGAGCGCTTCACAGATGAACAAATTTAAAAACGTGAACATCGTGACATCAATTAAAATGTTAATTACGTCAACGCATTAAAAGTTAATGCACGTTAGTTGAACGTGTAACTTACTAATGCACGTTAGTTGAACGTGTAACTTACTCCCCCACCCCTACCGGGCATCTGTGAAACACAGCCCCAGTAAAGTCACGTAGAAGGGAAGTAATAAAATAATAAAAATAAAACATAATAAAATCATTCTCACGACGTTTCGGCCACAACGCAAGCAGCCGTCCTCAGGTGAAACCAGGTCTGTCGAGGCGACAGAAGATGAATCCCTGCAGTCACGAAAGCTTTAAATCGAAATTTTACAGCCCCAGTAGCTCATCGGATTCCTCCAGTCTAAGTGAACTAAAACAAAAGCATTGTTTTTATTTTGCCAGGTAAGCCCCAACTGAGCTATAAAACTATATGTTGTAGAAGCGACCTGGATATCACAAACGAAGTGGCTTATCGTCATCAGTGTGGACATCTATAGCAGGAGCGAAATAGTCTAAACGCGTGGTGATGTTGATTATAAATGTGGAGGGGAAAACCGGAGGACCCGGAGAAAAATTCACGTGACAACCGAGAGAGAGAGACACGCAAACTCCGCAAATACAGCAGCAGGCGTGAGGGTCGGGACCTCCTGTACACAAGGCAAGGTAGTCAACATCTCCTAGCCACCGTGATGATGACAGAGAGAGAGAGACGCAAACTCCAAATATACAGCAGGCAGTGTCAGGGTCGGGATCGAACCCACGACCTCCTGTGTACCAAGCGAGGTAGTCAACATCTCCCAGCCACCATGATGATGAGAGATAGAGAGACGCAGACTCCAAATATACAGGAGCAGGCGTCAGGGTCGGGATCGAACCCACGACCTCCTGCACACCAGGCGAGTTAGTCAACATCTCCTAGCCACCGTGATGATGAGAGAGACACGCAAACTCCAAATATACAGCAGGCAGTGTCAGGGCCGGAATGGAACCCACGACCTCCTGTGTACCAGGCGAGGTAGTCAACATCTCCCAGCCACCGTGATGATGACAGAGAGAGACACGCAAACTCCACATATACAGCAGCAGGCGTCAGGGTCGGGATCGAACCCACGACCTCCTGTGTACCAGGCGATGTAGTCAACATCTCCCAGCCAATCTGTGCACTGATCGTGCCCCTTCCTTCCCGATAGGGCTGCTGTTGCTGTTGTTGTTGTGAATTGTTTGCGGACAAGCTTGTCCGGGTGACGTTGTCCATTGTCGCAAACAATCTACGTCGTAGATTCTTGTTATTTTCTTGAAACCTATCGACGTGATCTTTTCCGAAAGCCCCAATGAACGGGGTTGTGACAACTCCCTGGCTCGTCGTCCCATCTGCGTCGTCCCTCCCGCGTCGTCCCTCCCGCGTCGCGAGCGCGAGGTCGGACGCGGGGAGTTCTCCTCTTGAATCAAAACACTCAAACACTCAAGGTGGTGGTGGTGGTGGGGGTGTTCGCCAAACAGTGATGGTCTCTCACGAGCGCATGGGGCAGCAGGGGAGTTGGACGCTGTCCTCTGCTGCCCTCTGCTGCCCGCGGCTCCGCGTCGCCCCCCGCCTGGCTCGTGGGTGACATCGCGAGTGGCGGCGGAGCTGCGGAGCCTGTTCGGCTTTGTTGATGTTGTTGTTGTTGGTATTGTTGTTGTTGTTGGTGTTGTTGTAGTCGGTGGCGGTTGATGGGCCCCAGTGGTGCCCCGCCTGTTACTTCACGGGAGATCCGTGATGCTGCGTGCCAAAGCAGCAGCCGTAACAGCGACAACAACGACAACAACGACGAAGAGAGGACATGGCAGAGAACGGAGGATCGCTGGGTCCTCAAGGAGGACTCGCTGCTGTTGCTGCCGCTGCTGCCGCTGCAGCCGCAGCAGCAGTTGCTGCTGCTGCTGAAGCCGCTGCCGTTGCTGCTGCTGCAGCTGCAGCAGCGGCTTCTGGCTTACCGTGCGGCGCTTCCAGACGCGCTTCTGCGGCCGTCTGGAACGCGCTCTCCCTTCCGATATTGGAAGCCATTGGAGCTGCGCACCGTTAAATCATCATCTGCATTGAGGAACTCGTTTCGTTAGAACTGTTTAACACGTCGGCGGTGACGTCACCACGACGTTTGTGCCAGGCCATGTGCACCTTGATGCCACGTGAAGTGTCGAACGCCCGCTGACAGGAGGTCACGGGGCAGACCCAGCAGGTGCCACGGGTCGACTGACCGAGATGACCGAGATGACTGGCTGATGCACCACCTGTGCCCCCTACTGTGCCAACTTGCTGTGCTTTAGCCACCCGGCGCTCCGCTCGTTGTTGTGAGCGTCGCTCCTCCGCCCTCCGTTGTTGTTGGAGGGCGACTGCCTCCAACTGCCCAGTAGCGTCCTTCACGAGCCTCCTCCACAGAGGCCGATCTTGACACCGCTGGTACCAGTCATCGGCAAGTCCACTCAGCTCTACGTCCTCCTGTACCACATCACTCCATCTCTTCTCTAGCCCGTGCCGCGCCCGTTTAGCCCCCTCGATCCGGCCGAACAAAAGCTGTTTGGGCATGCGGTGATTCGTCATGCGGGCTACATGACCCAAACACATACACACACACCGGGTGGCGCTGTTCTACACACACACAGGGTGGCGCTGTGGGTGCCTCTTCCAAGAAGTATCTGGCGAGCGAGGAAGAGTTGGAGCAAAATCGCCTCGAGAATGCACAAGGGGGAGCTCTCCTCTCTGTCGAGATCATTACAAAAATAACTATAATAATTGTATCAATAACGAAAATAATTCAGGATAACAATCAGAATGAAACGTGCATCGCGTTTTTCATCAAGGATCTCAAAGCGCTGTCCAGGGCACAGCAGCAGAAGCCACTCAGCATAAAACTAATACAAATATAAATACATTTTAAGAATCCAATTAGTAAGTGAACTAAAAGTGTCACAAGCGGAAGCGAATATAAACAGGTTTCTAAGGTGCAGAGAGAGGATCTGCATCATCCCCACGCCTTAGGCGCCTTGAGGGTCACGTGGTGTGTAGAGAGAGGATCTGCATCATCCCCACGCCTTAGGCGCCTTGAGGGTCACGTGGTGTGTAGAGAGAGGATCTACATCATCCCCACGCCTTAGGCGCCTTGAGGGTCACGTGGTGTGTAGAGAGAGGATCTGCATCATCCCCACGCCTTAGGCGCCTTGAGGGTCACGTGGTGTGTAGAGAGAGGATCTGCATCATCCCCACGCCTTAGACGCCTTCAGGGTCACGTGGGGGTGCAGAAAGAGGATCTGCATCATCCCCACGCCTTAGGCGCCTTGAGGGTCACGTGGGGGTGCAGAAAGAGGATCTGCATCATCCCCACGCCTTAGGCACCTTGAGGATCACGTGGGGGATGCAGAGAGAGGATATGCATCATCCCCACGCCTTAGGCACCTTGAGGATCACGTGGGGGTGCAGAAAGAGGATCTGCATCATCCCCACGCCTTAGGCACCTTGAGGATCACGTGGGGGTGCAGAAAGAGGATATGCATCATCCCCACGCCTTAGGCACCTTGAGGATCACGTGGGGGTGCAGAAAGAGGATCTGCATCATCCCCACGCCTTAGGCACCTTGAGGATCACGTGGGGGTGCAGCGTGTCACTGATGTCGGCTGGTGGCAAGATGGTTCGATGCTTCGTAAGCGAGCAATAGGATTGTAAAGCTGTGTTCTACGCGAACCTGCAAGCCAGTGCAGGGAGGCCAACACGGGCGTACGATGATGTGAGGAAGGCGTTCTGGTTAACACCCTCGCAGCCGCATCCTGAGCATGCCGCAGATCGATAATCACCTTTCCCGTGCACGCCAGGGAGTAGTAAGTCATCGCAATCGTCTATACGAAATGAGACGACGGCATGGAGCAGCGTTTGTCTCCACAGTGGCATCAGCGAGCTATTGCGGGGCTGCGCCTTCACCTGTTGATGGTGGCCACGGTGGCGAGGAGATGTTGACTACCTTGCCTGGTGTTCAGGGGGTCGTGGGTCCCATCCCGACCCTGACGCCTGCTGCTGTGTATTTGGAGTTTGTGGTGTCTCTCTCATAATTATCACGGTGGCTAAGAGATGTTGACTACCTCGTCTGGTATGTAGGAGATCGTGGGTTCCATCCCGACCGTGACGCCTGCTGTATATTTGGAGTTTGTATCTCTCTCCCCGTGGTCGCGTGGATTATTCTCCGGGTCCTCCGGTTTTCCCCTCCACATTTAGAATCGACATCAGCACGCGTTCAGAGACTTTGGCTGCTACACATGTCCTCGTGACGATGATGATGTGAAGCCGCTTTGTTGAGCTATCATTGGTGGCCAGGTCGCTTCTGAAAGATAGCTGTACAGCTCAGTGGGCCTTACCTGGTCAAATAACAAAAATAGTGTTTCGTTTAATAGTCTGTCAATAAAAGGTTCTCACCCGAGTATCAAGACTCTTCATCAGGAGGGAGCGTGAGCGCGCAACTTGCAGGGCTGCGCTTCTACCTTTTCACCTGCACCTAAAAATAAATGATCATCGCTGGAGCTGTTCTGTCTCTCTCTCACCCTCGCACACCACACACACATGTTGGTGATGTGCACGTCTTCCTCGAACGCTGGGGAGCCGGACAAGCCCCTCTCTGTACCAGCGTGCACGGCACCCTCGTGTTCATCTTCTGAAGCGCTCGCTCGTCACCGTGGCGTGCGCGATGACCACCACCACCACCACGTGACTTTTATTTCGTGTTGTGCGCGATGACCACCACCACCACGTGACTTTTCTTTCGTGTTGTGCGCGATGACCACCACCACCACCACCACGTGACTTTTCTTTCGTGTTGTGCGCGATGACTACCACCACCACGTGACTTTCATTTCGTGTTGTGCGCGCTGCATTTAGCG